AATATGTAAATGGATTGAACACTATTTTAAGTAACAGACAACAATGCGTAGTTTTAGAAGGTTTCAAATCAATTTATTTGCATACTAATTCTGGAGTCCCCCAAGGAAGTGTACTGCGTCCTTTTTATTTTTAATTTACTTAAATGATATCTCCGATAATATTACTAACAACATACGACTATTTGCCGATGATACTTCACTTTTTACAATTATTCATAATGATCCTCTAAGTAGCTCGAACTCTATAACCAAAGACCTGGATATTGTCTCATCGTGGGCTAAACAGTGGTGTGTAACTTTTAACCCCAATAAAACTAAAAATATTACTTTTACTAGGAAAAATACAATCCATCCAGACGTTGTTTTCGGAAATATAAAAGTTGAAAACGTAAACACTTATTACCATTTGGGATTAACATTTCAGTCAAATGCACTATGGTCAAAACACATTTCAAATATATACCAGAAAGCTTGTGGTCGTCTAAATATTTTGCGCATACTGAAATATGAAATTAATAGAATTTCACTTAATAAGATTTATCTTGCTTTTATTCGCCCGATTTTAGAATATGCTGATATTATATTGGATAACTGTTCAAAGAAGGATTCTGATCTTTTGGAAAGTGTTCAAACTGAAGCAGGTAGAAAAATAACTGGCCTTAGAAGAAATTCGTCTAAAAATAATTTATACAAAGAGCTTGTGTGGGAATCGCTGTCTAATCGTAAAATAAAACACAAACTAATTTACTTATATAAAATAAAGAACAACCTAGGCCCAACTTATCTTACTGAAATCTTTAAAAAGTTTGAACCTTTAGTACCAACTTATAATTTTCGTAATGAAAATCAGAACCTCAATCCACCATTTTGTACAACCAAATCGTATTCTAATAGTTTCTTTCCCTGCACAATTAAACTATGGAACAATTAACCGGAAAACATTAAAACTTCACAAACGTTAAGCACATTTAAATCGGGCCTTTCACGTGTATACCAATTACCTAGACCACAATTATATTATAATACTGGAAATAGGAAAGAAAATATTATCCATTGCCAATATTAAGAAATAAAGCTAGTAATTTAAGTAACCATTTATTCTATCATTTTATTAGTGAAACAAAGGTGTGCCCTAGATGTTATTCTACAGACGAAGATAACTACCATTTTTTTTTCATATGTCCAGCCTACTCTGCCCAAAGAACAATTCTCCAAAATAATTTACACCACCTCAAACAAAATGCTACAATTAACCTAATCTTATATGGCAACCCCGACCTTTCAGATGATATCAATTTTAACATATTTAACATGGTGCAAAAATACATTAAAGATAGCAAGAGATTTTAACATTTAATATTTTATTTACAATATGCAATACTTTTTATCTGATATAAATTTCATAATCTAAAATGAAAATGTAATACTCTACGATTAGACCCCAAGAAATATATGTTTGTTACTCACTGTCTATACGTATGTCCACCATTGTCTATTGTAAACATAAGATATAACTGTTTTATATGTTTGGAGAGAACTTATATAGGCCTTTGTCTGTTGTTCAATCTAGTTCAGTTTATTGAATAAAATAGTGTTTAAACTAACACACTTAGTTGAAATCCCTCAAGTGAATAAATAGCTTGTGGAGCTTGTCAGAATTATACCCTTAATATGATCCCTCTCAAATTCCATTTATTTGAACGAATGGGAATAACCACCACCACAGAAACATATCAAGCAAATTTAATTGGAATTCAAATTTGGCGCTTGAATATCCTATCTCTAATAGTTAATCATACAGTAGTGAAGGGTGAAATTCCTTCAAGGATATGTGAAATGAAATGAAATGGGGTTTAACGTCCTACAGTTCTGCTCCGAACTGGGCTAATGAAAACGAGCATACGCCATACAGTGTGCTATGAGGGAAATTTTGCGGCACTACGGCCTACTCTAATCGAATTCCAACTGTCAAGGGATCTTTTACGTGCACGCAAATGTGTACACGGGTCCTCGGTTTTTCGTCCCACCCGAACGACTAAACAGCTGTCCTTGGCAGGCCCTCCGTTCTACATCACTGACAAGAGCGAACCACGCCGGAAAATCTGGATGAACTTTCTCGGCCAATGCAGGGATCGAACACCCGACCTCCAGGCTAGCGAGCCAGCGTCTTACCCTCTTAGCCACCGTGATCCCCCTTGAATGACATATCTCACGATGTTAATGAATTATGGAGCCGCGATGGCCCAGTGATTAAGGCGTTGGCTCGCTTACCAGGAGGTCAATGTTTTGGCCTAGAAAGTTCGTCTGGATTTTCTGGTGTGGTTTTCCCTTGTCACCGTTGCGGTACGGGGTCGTAGCAATAACAGTATCTAATTGTTCGGATGGGACGAAAAAACGAGGTACACGTAAGAAAACTACCCTTTACTGTTGGATTCACAATAAGAATTCGTCGTAGCGCCGCTGTCCGGGTAAAATTCCACTAAAAGCACAAAGCATGGCATATAGCCGTCCATCGTTACCTCAGTTTGTGCAGAGAAGTATAACGTTAAAATCCTTTTCATTTCTCAATTTTCCGGCATGGTTCCCCCTTGTCAGTGGTGCAGGAGTGAGGGCCTGGTAAGGGACAACGTATAGTCGTTCGGTCTCGATGATATGTTTGCATTCTATCAAGCATGAAAATCACTTTTAGCGACTACTTCCTTATAATTTGACACCTGCTGCAGTACGTAACTGGAAAGACCTAGAAACCCACAATTATAGTTTTCGTATATTAATAAAAATTTGCACTTACCTTTGAAAGCAGCCATTTTAAATCTTAATATTAATATAAAGTTAATTTTCTTGACAATAAAGGAAAATTGCGTTACAAAATCTACACAAAACAACTCTAAATTTTAACGGTCATTAAAATTATGCTGCATAATAAAACATGGTTTGTCAGGCAGGGTTGCATACACCAATCAGCAGCTGCTGGACCAGTACTTAAAAGACCTCGAAATGTCCCCCCCCCCCCCACAAAAAAAAAAAACGATTTTTTTTTTCATTTTTGAAACATTACCTTCACTTTTAAAGTATTTGCCCAAATTGTACTACGAACGCACATATTTTTATTTTATTTTTTCAAAATATTTTCTCAGATGTCTCCGAATTTCAAAAAATGACATTTTACATACAGTTTTTTTTAGTTTGTAAATATTTTTTTATGCCATTTTACATTAACAATATTTTCCAACACTATTTGAATTCAGTATCCATCATCTGATCTGTATTGTCAACTACCATTTTCTTAAACACCGAAAATATTTTTCGTAGACTCCCGAAGTGGCGTCATTTAGACAAAATTTGCACTTTTTACCGCTGTTGACCTTTTCGGACCTAATACAATTATTTACATATATCATATACTAATCCATTCTGAATACGCTACTATTTAGTTTTCAAGCGTTATAGTTACATACAATGCTAATCTAACAAATATATACTTCTCCTGTTTCAGACTGTTGTAATTTTTTACTACCTTTTTAATTTTAAATTTTGACTTTTAATTCCAATGAACCAGAATCAAAGTACAATAAAATAAAATAAATGTTTACGATCAATTTTTTTATAAACTTACTAGAGTTGCTACGATAATAAACGAAGTTCTGATTTTTCATTTTTAAATTAAATTATTAAATGGCGGTCATGATGCAATCCGCTCAAAATCACAACTATGCAATGGTGTAGAGTTGAATATGGACTTGTCATTTGAATGAATGTGTAATTAATAATTTATATACGTTTGGGGCTAAAAGAAAGATATGCTATGCATTGAGCCTCTTTCGATTGTTTAAAACATTTTGTTTTTTCTTTCAAATCAACTTCTAGCATAAATAGAAAAATGGTTTCAATCTTACTTTATTTCCAAGAAATTGAATTTTATGCATGCGTAATGCTTTAAAGTTTATTAGTCTCTAATTTAGGATAATATGTGTCGTGTAATTATTTTTTTTTCTAAAAGCTTACTTAGTGGTTTAAATCTTTTTTATTGCCGAAAAATTGCCAATTGTAAATGGGTCATATTTGAGTAAAGCGTTAATTACGCGCATCCGCGGTTGGGTCGTATTAAGTGAACTACCTTTCTTCTCTTTAGTCTTTCCGCAACAATTTTCGAGAAGTAAATAAATATATATCTAAATTATATTATTCATATATTTTCCATGGTTTCTCAAGCCGATAGCATCCATAATCCTACATATTCTTTTCCTTAATAAACGATTAAAATTGTCAAGCCGAATCTGAAAGCCAGGGTCATGGCACCAAGGATCGTAAGCTCACACATAAGCCCATATTTTGCAAGGGGTGGGCAGAGAACTATATAAAAGAAAAGATTTTTCGTACAATCAGGGGCCATAATCCAGGATGTTACGGTCCGATAAGCACGAATATCGAAAGGAACGGATATGTTTGGGAAATAATCATACATTTTATGTTTCATCTAAATTGGATAAAAATTCTGACCTCTAAAGGATAAAAATCTTGGTATTATACTATTTGCTTAAAGTAGAGCGGCCATTTTGTCAGATAATCTCTGTCCAAAAATATGGGCGTATAAAAAGTGTACAGTGTAAAATATCAATTTGTGCTTGCATACGCCATTACGAAAAATGGAATGACACGACATAATCTCTGTTGCTGTTTAAAACCCACGGGCCTGAAACCACGCGTCCGTTGGAAATTAGTGTTTGCAAACAGTCTCTTTAATTGTGATATTAAATTTACATATTATGTTTATACACCACAATGTCCTTTATTTAGTTCACCCAATATCTGTGTGGGTGTGCATGAAAGTTTAGCTTAGCCAATCAAAATCGTAATAAGGCTTATTTCCCTCTTTCAATTTTGCATCGTCACTAAATAGGCATAAATTTAAGTTTTATTTCCGGGTATTTGATTGGAACAATCGAGGGTCACGTGGGTACCTTTGTGTAAATTTCTTTAAAAGACGCTGGATCTCTGTTCTAATCACTAATATTTTTGGTTTCTCTGCTCAGTATAGTCGAGAAGCTGAAAGATACACCAACATGCGGTTTCTGTTGACCATTGTTCTTTTGGTGGCTGTAGTCATGGTTGCTGTCGACGCGCACAGTAGAGCTCGTCATCGTCGTTACAGTCGAAACCATAGAATCGTGCGGAAACCATCAGTCGTATTCCAGAACAAGAGAACATGGTTGAAGAACATACCCTGCCATAGTGTAAAGAGGTCAGGTCTCTGTGAGAGATGCTGTGAGAAAAACCATGTATTCCATCATAAGAGACGATATCTGAAGAACTTAAAATGTAGTATTTTAAAGACATCAGGCCTTTGTAATAGATGCTGTGGTAAGAACTTTTATACATACACATTTTCGTCGCCACTGCCCGTCCATCCGTCCGTGCGTCCGTCCGCGTGTCCGTCCATCCTTCCGTAAGAATGTTTTATTATATTATTGTCTTCATACTAAAATCTTGTAGGTTCACAAATCCCCTGGTTGTTCTGCTATACTACTGTCATACCAAAGTCAAATGGTTTCAAATATGTACATAGCTAGTCGTGGTTTGATTCGGTATCTTGTTTGGCTGGGTTTATTAGCGTGAGACCAGGGTAACACGGCATCGACCACGTAACTATTTAGTTATTATCAGGGCTACTGTGCAATGTATTGTACAATATATAGGTCTATCATTTTAATTGCGAAAACGTCGAGTTTCTTATAGATATACATGTATTGATTAAACGAAACTCCATGATTTGTAGATCATTACATTCTTAGTAGTATATATCCGAAAATATTACCACAACCATGTTGAAATGGTGAATGGTTGGGTGCATGTTATTTAATTTTGTATAAATATACAAATTCGCTTTTATAAGAATTGTGGTCATTTGGGATTTTCATACTTGCAAAGACATAATGAACGACCAATAGTGTCGTATGCTGGTATATTACCGTCATTACGATATTATAAGACATTTCCGGAATATAACGATGAATGCCGGGTTATTGGGCTTTCATGGATCTTATAACTTTATAGTCTAGATACTCCTTTCAATAGGCAAGCATCCAGCAGCGAGACAAACAGAGAAGGAAATGGGGTTTAAAATCCACTCGACATAAACTAGGTCGTTTTGGGACTAACATATGGTTCAATTTTATTTCAATAATTCGCTTTCTTTTAAGGATATTATCTGTAGGGGAAACAGGACACACACACACACAGGAAACCAATGAGGTTGTACAGGAGTTCCTAATCCTTGTTATGTACAAGCGGGGATTCGAAACCACGTCACTTCACTCAATGCCAAACCTGATGAACTTACGCACACGCGTTAAACCATTCCCCCTCCCTCTAAAACAACGAAACCAAGTGAATCAATATATAAAAAAAATAGTTCTTGGGTTTTATAAAAATAGGTTCCATAGTACACTGTTTTGAGATGTGATCGGGCATGGTCATCTTTTACATAAAATCCGACACAATTGTTGATGAATACCCGTAGTTTTCATTTAGTGCCCTTAGTTGGCTTCCAAGTCTTTAATTTTACAATTGTCATATATTAACTGTAGGGTCTCAGACTATCTCTTTACATTTAACGTCTTTAAAATTGTAGATCCGTGTTACAAAGTAGAGTGTTGTGCACCTCTAACATGTGCAGGGGGTGTCTGTAAATGCAACGGTAACGTGTGTAAAAAGGATCAAATCTGCATTGGAACTGGCGTTGATGCCTGCTGTGTCGATAAGTAAGTAAACTTTTTCTGTCATTGAAAATCTAAAGTATATATTTAAAATCCATAGACAGGTCTGGCATACATATTTGATGCGATAAATAATCAAGCTTTCGATCGATGTGTTATATCTTGATGCCTCCGAAATTGATTCTAAAATGATATAAACTATAAGGTTTTATATCTTTGGGCAAGTTATGTATGGCAAGAATCATATATATATATCATATAATTGCTCCATTAGCGTCTTTGATATCTCAATTTCAAGACGTATAACCCAATTTTGATATTTAAATTGGACTTATAATAATATCTTCTTAAAATAAGGTTGGTTGGATAGTTAGGACCGTAGAATTATCCAGGTGGCCTTAGAATAATCTTCATTTTTTTTAAAGCCCGATTCTCTACTGTCCAGGGTGGTGCCTATGGGTCCCACAAAGCAAGTTTGTTATGCGCCTAAAATATCCATTGGCAATCGATATTCGAAGAAGACATGACGCTGTCCTGGCAAGATGCACCCACGTGCATTGCACACGAACCATGAAAATACAGATTATTGTATTTTATTGTCAAAATGACCTGTAGTTAAAGTTTCGACGACATGTTAAACGCTATTTTATTCTCTTTCAGTCCTGTTGCATCTACAACAAAAACAACACCCCTAACGGCTGTTCCGACATCCCCAACGGATACAGGTGCTTCCCCGACGGTTGCAGGGACTACGACAGGGTCCCCAACGGCTGCAGGACCTCCCCCATCGGTTCCAGGGACTTCCCCGACGGTTGCAGGGAATACGACAGGGTCCCCAACGGCTGCAGGACCTCCCCCAACGCCTGCAACCTAGGGACTTCCCCAACGGCTGAAGGGACTTCCTCAACGGCTGCAGAATAGTTTGCATTATTTTTGAAGCATTTTGATTACAGTATTTACAAATTAAATACCGCAAATATTGTTTTTTAAGAAGAAAAGAATATATAATAAATAAAGTTCACATCTTGTTTTGACTGTTCTTTTTTTATTAGAAGACATGTCCAGCTTGTCAAGTGTAATAAGGTCTATTAATAACAGTTCGATTGATTCTTCTCGTACTTCTTTCGACACTGCCGTGGCTCAGTAAGTAAGGCGAAGGCTTGCTAACTAGAAGGTCTCAGGTTCGCTCAGGATGTAGGCACAGGGGAGTTCTGCGGGGTTTCTTACTCGAATGAATGAGGGCCTGGAAAGGACAGTGTCTAGTCATTCGGATAGGACTAAACACAAAGATCGCGAACACGTCAAAGAACACTCCAGTAGCTGATCTCAGATATGATCTACGACTTTTTATTGAACAAAATTGCTTTTGTAAGTGAATCGTAAACATTTCATTTTGATGACTAAAAGTATGTATGTGCGTGGGGTGGTGGTGGGGGTGGGGTGTTGGAGTCGATACGCCATATGTTACAAGAAGTCAAGTTTTCTTACCCTTACATCTATTTGACAAGGTTTCTCCAACGGAAAAGAAAAACACTTTGTGAGTTTTATGAATAATTCTGATTTATTTATCAAGAGGATCTTAACATATTCCAACATAAAGTATACACATTTAAATAGTATTTCATACAAAATAATTACTTTTATTTATGTGCACACAATTAAAATGGTATTTGGTAACTTTAGCAACATCAAAAGATTTAATATTATTCATATTTCTAATTTGTAAGATAAAAACCTATTAGTGACTAATTTGTTAGAAAGCAAGTACTACAATACGACGGACCTAGAACTGAGTATGGCGTTATCACAACCATCTTGGAAAAGCAGGCCTATACCCTTTTCATCACCTGCTATTGTGTGGTAAAGGTAATAGGTAATACAATTCCAGGGTCATACAATATAAAATCCACCACCCAAACCATTTATACTAATTTATAATAGCATAAAACCAAAACTATAAACTCACTAATTCAAAACTCCAACTAATAAAGACACTGGCCAGGACATGAATTACCAACATCAAAAGTCTCAAAACTCAACCCTGTTACATTGGAATTTTCATGTTATATCAAGGAAAGGGAGAGGGGGTAACGTCCACTGACACAAACTAGGTCATTTTGGGACTAACATATGGTTCAATTTTATTGTAATAATTCGTTTGCGAGTAGGAGTTTTTAGCAGAGGGAGCGGAGAAAACCCACGAGGTTGGACAGGCGACCATACTCCTTGTCATTTACAACCGGGGAATCAAATCCAAGCCAGTTGACTCAATGACAAACCTTATGATACATTGCACACACACTAACCATTCGGTCATCCAAACCCCCTCAATTGTCCAAGGAGAAGATATGCCAAGTGTCATGTCCATCGTACATAAATTGATGGAACCTTGGGCTTTCTCGAAGCGCGGCTTTCCATGAACGACACCCAGATAAGTAGTGGCGGGGGTTCAGTTCCTGGTAATAAAAACATTACAAGTGATTAGGTTCAATACACAGTGTGTTGATCGAACAAGATATAAAAGGAATTAATATTTAAATTTTTCGACTCTTCCAATAATTAACTATTTGACGAGTGAGACTAGAATCTTGCAGATACATCTTTGATACAAGAGAAAACCGAAGGGAGAACTATGATTTAAAAGGGAGTGGGGATATATACATCCCTAAAAAGGAACCGAAAATATAAATGGCAGTGTCGTATCTACATGTAAATAATAACAATTTTTTTTAGAATACTTAGACCGGACAAAAAAGATAAAACGGTAGTGCCGTATGTAGCAATATGAGGGCCTCAAACTAATATTGCTTTCAAATTTATAAACAAGTGCTATTAGATGCAACGGAAATAGATGATATTTTGATATATTTAAATGATCCATAGGTTAATAAAATACAGCACACATCATATCTGTTGATGTTTACAAACTGATTGTATCGTAATTATACTCTAAAATAACTTTACAAGACATTTACCAGATATGACGTCAGAGTTACATCAACATTAAGCTAATACTTACGTCATTGGGCATAATTCACCAATCAAAAAATTAATAAATCGCTCATCCAAGATATCAGGGGTATAAAAGAGACCGGTATGATTGGGGGGGGGGGGGGGTACGATCAGGCCTATTAAGATTCTTTAGGAGAAGATGATGTAGAGTTTTCCGGGAGTAGATTATCTGACCAGGAGCAAGTGAAGTGGGGATAAGTTAGAGAATGAAAGACATTTTATCTATGAGTTTTATGTAGACTTATGCTTGAAAACCTTGTATCCTGCTTGATATAACAAGCTCTTGGCATGGAAGATACGCCTACGTTTTGCAAGAGACGGGCAGACACAACACGCAAACAATAAGCGATATGCGCAAGTATCAAAAAGGGACTCAGATCTTTGGGACATAAACATAATTATATGTTAGGTTTCATCAAAATCGGATAAAAATTGTGATCTCTAGAGGATCCAGATTCGTATAACCAAGGTCCATGATCCATGAAGCTACGTACGGAAATTTAACGTCCACTCCGACACAAATTAGGCCATTTCGGGACTAACACCTGTGGTTCAATTTTATTTCATTAATTCCCTTGCGCGAGTAGTGGGAGGAAACCAGAGAACCCACCAAAAAACCACGATGTTGGTCAGGCGGGTATCCCTCATAGCACACTGTATTCATTAGCCCCAGTCGGGGCAGAACGGCAGGACGTTAAACCCCATTTCATTTCATTTCTAATAATGAATATTAATAAATTAATAACGCTCGAAAAGATTGGGAATATTGTGAAAGTTTGCTTATACCTCACTATCTGGATACATTATATTAATCTTAAATGAGAGAACAAGATCAGGTCAATGATTTTAATGTAATGTTTATTCTTTTATTATCATATACACAGCAAAAAAGTTAAGCCCCCCCCCCCCAAAAAAAAATAAAAATAAATAAATAATAATAAAAGCTGAATTATCGGTATATTTTGAAACCAAATTTCAATCCTCATGATGGCAAATCAAAGAGTCGTATATTGGTGATAAAATAAGGTGTTATTTATTGAAAAATGTCTCTCACGAACGCAGCCACATGCACGTGAATGCCGCCACCCATGTGTTCCACACACCAAAGTTTTATTAAACAACCACAGGCATTGGGTATTTAAGGTTCGGTATCGAGTTCATTATCACTTTTTTGCACTTATGATTGACAATGCCACGAAGGAGAATTTCCGATGCATTGAGATGGCAGATCATTGGACTTCATCGGGCAAGACTTTCTTACAAGGAAATTGCAAGGAAAACTCAAGTTTCAGTACACCGTAATAAGCCGTCTGGTGAGGAAGCATGCGCAAACAAATGATGTAAAGGACCTTCCCCGTTCTGGAAGACCAAAGGCTATCACACACCAGGAGGATAGGTCCTAGATATTAGCGATTTAGCTCCTTTAAACGTTGCATATTAGAATATTGAAATAGTGGGGGTGGGTAGGGGATGTAAGTTATTAGCTAGACTAGCAAAGATAGTCTTGAATAACAAGTCATTCTGGCAGTGAGAGGCACAATTTGTTGTCACAGGAGATATAACGCCTTCATTAGCCCCCAATATACAAGATACCGTAAAACAGGCGCTGTTATCACAATAACGCGTAATGAATTCAAACCATAGCTCATATTAATCAATGATATATATATATCGTGTCCCAAAGCATCGACCAATGAAATTGATTAGCTCTGCTTAGATTCAGCTCGAAATGTTAATCATTGAACTCAGTCAAGACATTCACCTAATGAACATCTACATCAAGTTTAAACATTCTACCTCAATTAAAAGCAGAGTTGTTATGTTCCAAAGTCTTGACCAATCAGATTGCTTATCGCTCGTTAGCCCAAGCAGAAAATTCTCACCATTGAACTTAGTCAAGGTAATGATATAATGAATCTATATTCGGAGTTTCATCGCTCTCACTTCATTATAACCAAAGTTATCGTGCCACAAAGCATCAACCAATAAGATTGCTTATCTCTGCTTACCGTAAGCAGACAATGTTCATTATCGCACCCCATCAAGGCATTCACCTAATGAACGCCTACACCAAGTTTGAACATTCTGCCTCAATTAGAGAGTTATTGTGTTCCAAAGGCTCGACCAATCAAACAGCTTATCGCTCTGCTTGCCCTCAGCAGAAAATGCTCATCTTCGAACTCCACCAAGGCATTGACTTAATAAACACCAACACCAAGTTTGAACATTCTAGCTCAATTTAAAGGAGATTTATTGTGTCCCAAAAAGTGTTACGGACAGACGGAAGGACAGACAGACAAACAGACAGTCGGACAGGCAGATAGACGGACGAACCCATTTTAATAGTCCCCTGCTTTCTTCGAAAGGCGGGGGACAATAAAGCATTAAGTAAAAGTCGCTTATCTTGAATGAGAGAACAACATCAGTTGAATAGTTGTCATGCTATGTGTGGAAAATCGATCGTTCGTTCGTTCATGGGGTTTTACACCCACTTCCAACTAGGGTGATATCGTAGACAAGGGAGAATCAAATGTGAACTCAATTGTGTATTTGGTTGGTAACCCATAAATAATTGGAGTTTTAAATCCAAATTTAATAATTTTTAGAGCTTTCGAGACGCAGACAATACATAATTATCCAACCTTTGTTGCTTCTCAGGTAAAGCTTAATGATACATTATACAAGAGCTAAATCTGCCTATTGCAGGTCTTTCTTTAGGCCTGAAATTTTACCTAAATTATTAATTAGACATTAATTAACTTATCCAGGCCACAATGAACTCTCGGTGGCATCGGATTTCCCCGATATTAACGGTTCAGCCATATTTTAATTTAATTTAAAAATGGAGGAGCGAGACTTAGATTCGAACAACCAAGTACGGTGGTTGCAACTATGACACACGTCTTGTCTTGTCAAACCTTCAAAGGCTAATATCTTCGCTCGCAATAAAGTAATTGGAATGAAATTTTCAAATTATTCATTTTACATTATGTACTTTTGAACTATATACTATTCA